TGTTCAGTGTTCTGATGAGTAGGAGTGAGTGGGGGAGGGTTTCCTATAGCTTGATTCCCAAGGATGCCTTGGTTACTTGTAAGGTTGCTGAAATTTGCATGCTGGCCATTTTGGGTATTCAAACCGATATTCATATTTCGAGTTCTTCCCCGATTCTCCACTGCGTTCTGAGCCCCTGAAATACTGTTAGGATTATTGATGACGACCCCTGGTGGACCAGCGTTCGGGTTTTCACCCCCATTATTCAATGCTTCAGCGGGCCTCATAATCATAGCCCTCATTTCCTCCTGTTGATGAGCCATGTTCTGAATAATCTCCATCAGTTGATCGACTCGAGTATCCATCCTGGTCCCCATAGCTACAACATCTGCTTGAATTTGTTCCATCTGTCTTTTGGCGGTGCTTCGAGTATTATAACGATGGGAATTCGTAGTGGCTATCTTCTGCAAAGGGGAGGCCCAAATCAAGGAATAAGAAGACCTACCATAATTATTTCTCGTATTATGATATGCATGAATGCACGATTGTGTATGTGATGTTATATCATTTCCAAGACATCCAAAGTTTTATTACCCCTAGGAATTTTAAACAACATGACAAGAGATACAAACGGTGGGAAGAAATTTTGATTAACAATTGATCTCATTAAAAACATCATTCATATGATCCAATGGTAACTTCTTACAGGCATGATTCAGAAATTATAATGAAATATAAATGACCCCATCCAACAAGACTGGTGGTGATCAAAAAAGAAAATAAAAAGGGGAGAACAAGATAATCAACGGGGGGGATCTCTAATCTCTGTGTAGTACAAAGGCCCTTCTTGCCGGAAGTACTCCTCACTCTATTCTTTGGTTTCTTAAAATAATTTCTTTGTCTTTTCACGATCCTATCCACGAGCGAAGCTATCGATCACCACATCTTTCCGATATAGTTGTCCCTCTAAGTACACACATTGCTCTCAGAAGCGATCACATTCTTTACATTCTGGTAAAGGTATAGGCACAGGTGCTTCTTCCATTTCCTTGATCTTGTCTCGGAGTCTTGCATTCTCTTTCAGCATTTCGGTCATTTGATCTTCTTTTGCTTCCAACTCCACCCTAGCAACTTTGAATTGGTTTCCCAATTCCTTGACTTTGGCTTTGTTCCTATTGTTGGCCATCTGAAATTTCAAAGTTTCTTGACGATTCCTCTCTGCATCAGCGAGGGCTATATGATATTCTTCCGTAGACACAAAAGAGTTTTCATCTCTGGGTCGTTTCTTGGAACCACTTTCTCCTTCATACTCTTTCAGCTGACGGGCCAAGTCCCTTTTCTTTTCTGTTAAGAAATAAATTTCCATTTTTTTGTCTTCCAAATTCTGGCGAAGGTCCCTATTCTCCAATTGTACTTGATAGAAGCGTTCCTTAGGCACATTGTGCTGCAACTCGGTGGGTTGAAGATACAAAGAGATTTCCTTTTCAAAAGGCAACATAAGAGTTTTGACTCTTTCCTTCAACCAATCCACGTAAGGATCGAAAGCTAATACCTCTTTTGGCCCGAAGAATTCTTTTCCTTTCCTTCCAACATGTGCCCAAGCAATCTCCACTTTCTTCAGCAATTTTGGGTCTTCTCCTTTTCTAAAAAACATAGGTTCGACCTCCTTGGCCGTGGGTGGACGCCTCATGGAATAACCTAACTGGAAAAGAGAGAGTGCTGGATTGTAGTTGATAACCCCTTTTGTTCCCATGAGCGGAACATTAGAGAAACCTGCACAGTGAGAGATGACTTCGGATCTATCCACATTAAGTTTGTACCATTGGATGTCGAAAGAGGTGAGCGTCATCACTTTGGATGCCCATGAACGAGGATCTTCTTTGAATGGCCCTTTGGTGGGTAACTGTGCGATGAACCATTTGTAAAGCATAGGTGTACAACATACTACTACTCCTTTCTTCCCATGCCTGGAGTGGATGGCGTGATAAGTATCTTCTAATAACGTGGATATAGGATTCTTATTCATGAAGACACAAAGAGAAGCCAATTCTATGACTTCTTTAATCTCAGGGAATAAGATAACTCCGTAAATGATGGCAGCCAACAGAGCATAATAAGCATCCAAATTTCCCACGTTCACCATTTCCTTTGCCTTACTTGCCAAGAAATCTACAAGAAGACCACAAGTGACTTTGTTACGTCTCCATTTCCTTTTTACATCGTTAAGGCTCAAATAAAGAACCTTAGCAATAGCCTCAAAGTCAGGTTCAATAGGGACTCGAACAAATGGAACATGACTGGTGAGCTTAATATGGAGAAGATGAGCATACTCCTCAAGAGTAGGTGCTAACTGATAGTCTTGAAATGTGAAGCAACGCAACTCCGGATCATAAAATTGTAACAAAGTCTGTACAACCTTGTCGTCAACCCGAGCCTCCAATAAAGATAGGAGATTCCCATATCTTTCACCAAAAATGCCCATTTGTTGACAATTCATGAGGTCTCTGAGCTCTTCAAGAGAGGTCCAAATACTAGGACGAAACTGATAGCTGAAGTTATCTCTCTTTGTCTTTAGGATGATATCAATGTTGTTTGCCATTCTTTAGAGGAAAAGGAAACCCTGGAGAGATCCTGGAAATGACAATGCGCATGCGAATTAATTATTGACATATATATATATATATATATATATATATATATATATATATATATATATATATATATATATATATATATATATATATATATATATATATATATATATATATATATATATATATATATATATATATATATATATATATTTAAAAGTGAATATGCTATGATGTGTGCGCAAATGATCATGGGGTTACTGCTTCCATGATATTGATTCCTATTGTACTGCCTCTTCACATTCTGTTAATATTGAGATTACAGGTCTGAAACATAGCCGGAAGAAATCCATGAAGGTCATAGTTGGGTTCTTAGAAAATAAATCTGAGAACTTCATAATTGTTGGCAGAAATCCAGGATATAACCAAAAGTAATCGTCTGAATATAGTCACCAACTGTACCTGTGATAAGAATTCCATCCCCACTCACGTGTGAAGACTAGGTCAGGGTGAGATAATGGTAACTCGAAAATCACGGGTTCTCCTGAAAGTAAAATCATCGCAACACAGACGTGCATGATGAAAGTACCTCCAATTGAACCTCATTTGAGTGTGGTATATGACATGACTGCACTAATCGGACCACGTCCTATAGCAGTCATGCCCCCACTCTATTCCTAGGTGTCCTAGTGCACTCTGGCCTGGGTACTGGGCCTTTTACCTCAATAGTTACATCCCCACCCAAACAAGAAGCAGATCCAATACAACAGCAGTATATAGAAGACAATAAAGTGTGATGAAAACATATGCTCAGATAAATATGTACAACTGAGTAAACTAAAAGCGCAAAAATAAACACTCAAAGAAAAGAAAACAAGAGCTAGGACGACTCTGGGATGGACCAACATTTGGTCGACCTGTCCCCAGTGAAGTCTCCAGCTGAAACAACCGGCTGAAAATCATCAAACAATGAAGTCGCCATAGAACGTCTTTTATCCCATGTGGCGGGAAAGGTAAACATCAAGAAAACCTGAGAAAAGGAGAATTCACGGTCGAACGACCGAGAGATCGGGTAAGGGAGTCTGTTACGCGAGGGAAAGGTATTAGCACCCCACACTCCCGTAGTACTCTACGGTATCCACTCTTGTTATATGTCTTATGGGTGAGTTTAATCTATGCTTATTGTTTACTACTGAATGGAGAATGCATGCAAAAGAAATGAGAAAAGAATGTAGGGAAGATAAAAGTTGTGCTCGTTCGGGCCCTACCCCGATGCCTACGTATCCCTTTTAAGGAATCAGAGCAGCCGTAGTTCGGCTCATAAGTTTTGTTGGTTTTGTATTTTTTTAATGAACAATATTAATTTCGCCTTCTGCCGCTACTCGACCTTTGGAGACTTACGCGTCAGCACAAAAGTGAATTAATCATGCTCTTTTGAAAAAGCTTGGAGAAAATGTGCCTGGGAGCACAAAAAGGTTTGAAATTGTTTGGGTTTTTAATGAACAAGATTAATTTCGCCTTCTGTTGCAACTCGACCTTTGGAGACTTACACGTCAGCACAAAAGTGAACTAATTTGTTCTTTTGAAAAGGTTTTGAAAGAAAGGCCCGAAGGCAAAAAGAGTTTATATTTGTTGATGTTTTTTGCTCGTAGATAACAACTAATTAATCTCAAGAGAGAGATATTAACCATTTTTCTACTTATTCATGAAATAAGTCTTTGAGACTTGAACCATGCCAAGGCTTAGAATGGAAATACGATAAGATCGAGAAGAGACCCGCTTATCATCTCTCATGTTCAACAAAGGCTGTAATGGGCTTAGGAAAATTGAAGTCCAGTCCATAATCAATCATCCCTATTTTTTCAGTATTGTATTATTTTATTTTTTAAACAAAATACAAATAACAAAATTAATTATGATTAGAAAAAAATAAAAATAAAAAATAAGGAAAGAAAAAAACAAAAGGGACCTTAAACGGCCGCGTTTTTCCCTTTGCGTTATTAGGGTTCCGGTTGTCTCAGTACAACCTTCCTCATCTAACAGCGGCGCGATCCTCCTCTCCGTCTTGCTCTGTCTCTCCTCACGCCATTCATCATCGATTCCTTCGCGATAGCTTCGTCTTCTACATCTGAAATCTCTGTTCCGCCCATCCCTTCTTCTTACTCGCCGAATATAATACGATAGGGAACCCTAGTTTTCAACTAAAACGAAATTACATGATGATGGTGACGAATCAGAAAGAGCATCCATGGGGATTTCATTCTACAACCTATACGCTACATTATGGTGATGTAAAAATGCAAAAGAATATGTAGAAATAAAGAAAACTGAAGCTTACCTACCGGAAGAGTCTGATGCCTCTTCAATGGTGCCGGTAGCACAAGAATTCCAGAGGATTTCATGTAACTACTTGCAATATTTTGTTTAATATTATTCTTCTGCGCGATCTTTGAGTCGTTGATATTGCGAATTATTTTGTGAAGCTGTAGCAGGGTGATGAAGATTGATGACGATGTTTGTGAAGAGAACTGTGATGACGTTGCAGTTTTCTAGAACTGACGCGAAGATGATGATCCTCTCAAGAATTGTGATGCAAATTTGTTCTTGTTTCAGTGATTGATGATGGTTTTGATTCAGATGATAATTGAGATGGAGATAACAACGGATTGAAGATTGGGTTCCCAGAAGATGAAGGTTGACGACGCTTGAAGCAGTGGTTTCAGAGAGAACTTCTTGAGGGATTTTCATGGTGAGTAATGATTATAAATTTGAAACTAAATAACCATCCACCCCCCCCCCCCCCCCTTGCATCTGTGAATTCTATTATATATTCCATCGATATGAGATACTTAGTTAGAATTCGGTTGGAGAAATTAGTTAGGTCTGTTTAGAAATTGGTTATTGGAAGAAGTAATCATTGAGTTGGTTAGGGATTGAAAAAGTCTGTTAGAAAACAGTTAGCAGGTTACTAGAATGGTTAAAGTTAGGAACTAATTAGTTGGCTTGGTGACAGTTGGCTATTCTGTTTTTTTTTTGTTAGTAGTTTCTGTTAGGAGTTTGTTATAGGTGGTTGGGTAAGTTGGTTATGAAAACGGTTATCAATTGAATCAATCTGAACCATAGATTAGGAGAGTTAGTTATTGATTTGGATGGTGTGGATTTTATTGATGAAAATTTGATGAGCTGTAATATCTGATACTTTTTCTCCTCTGATTTTTATATTCTCACCGTTTCATACTTCACCCTCCCCTTCTATATTTTATGAGTTTTCTGAGTTCAATAAATTTTGGTATAGTTAGTTAGAAGTTAGCTTTGACAATTTTTGTTCTAGAAGTGAAATTCTGTAAGTTTTAAAATTGGGTTAGTACTAGGTTTCTAGGAGATGAGGAAGTTAGTTACAGTTAGAGAGTTTTAAATTCAGTTACAATCGGTTAGCAGTTAGGGAGGTTAACACTTTGTTAGAAAATTTCCAGGGGATTCATTGGAAGTTAGTTACAAAATTCTATTTTGATTCTGTTTTTGACAGTTAGAGGGTTGGGGGTTTGGTGTTGTGCAAATGGTTGCTGAGGTAATATTTATTGAACCGGTTGCAAAATAGGACGGTGGTTGGTTTGTCTAGCTTGCTGATTAGGAGTGTATCCCGGATGCGGTTGCAGAGGAGAGGTGCTTTGACCTTGAACAGATGAAGGAAACAAAGCTAGCTACTGATTCGGATACATAGCATGAGACTGATTTGGGTGCGTCATTGGATTTTGCTGAAGAAATTGATTCTGCATCTGAACAGGATGTTGGCCCTGGAGCTGCCCATTTTGAGGATTCAAGTGCATGTTAGATTGAGGGGCTCCCACTTGCATATTCTGATGAGGCAGATGTTGGGGATAAGAGTGATGACCTGTAACTACATGTGACATTGTATTTTGCCCTTGAGTGTGTACATTAGGAGGCATGGGAAGGTGAGATTGCATCTGAGGCTGAGAAGGACGTTGAATTGGAGCATTAGGTTGCATTTGTGGATGAACATGAGGTTGAGGAACATGATACTTCTGAACTGGTTTTTGGTTATCAGTATTGCAAATCACAGTCTTCTTTCCCTTTTTTTATGATTAATACAGGGCCATTTTGTTTGTTTGTGTAGCTTTGTCTGAATTTTGTTCTTAAAAAATAGGCAGAAATTTGAATTGGATCGGTTTTATTTTGTAGACCCGGTACAGTGGCATAGAGGCATAAATATTGAAGTTCACACATGGCAGCATTATTGAAGATGATCAAGAGGAGAGAACTTAGAAGACCAAGCTAGCATACTTTTAGGAACCACTTGACAAAGATCAATTCTTTTTGTATGATATTTTTGTAGAGATGATGAGTTAATGTAATGACTTGAAGCATTATGGCATATTTTGTAATGACCCTTTTTTTTTTGTTCAAGGCTTCCATACACAATTGTGAATGAAACTGAATGATAACACGAAAAAGGCCTCATATTTTGAATTGGTTCTTAAGAATATTGAAATTTATATGCTAAGCCAACTTGAATCGTCATACACATACTTTTGAAATTTCCACTTAAAATCCTGTCTTAAAAAATGCTCGAAAACCCTGAATAATATTGCATTTTTGTCAAGTTGAAATCAATGGTCTTGAACTTGGAATTTTGAATCTTGAACCAATTGGAACCTGAGTCTTCCACATGAAATCGAAAGTGATATCATGCCTTGAATAATGTTTGAAATGTTGTATTATTTTGCCTTGGTAGCTTGAATTTCAAGAAATCAACCATTGATGGATATTTCAATTTGCATGCTTGATTAATTCACCTCAATCTCAATTGAAACCATAAGTCCAAGTTGACTTGTGCAAAAATCCACATGAACTTTCTTCTAATACTAGTATGAATCACCTCCTGTCACAACATGTGCTTGAGAACCTCAATTAATCTTGAGACCATGTCTCATAACCTTTGCATTTACTTATACCTTGCATTACAGTAAATACTTATGACACTTGAACCTTAAGAAACTTGAATGGATACTTCCCTAATCAAATCCTCAATTCCCCTTGAAACTTTAACTTGCATTACAAGTAATAAAAACTCGAGAGAACAATAATCCCTTGAGGAATCCTTTGAAGATGAATATTGAAATTGAGACATGGGAGGAATAACCACCAAGATAGCCTTAACATGTAAATCCAATGAACCCTAGTTGATGAGTTAACACGCTTAATTGTCACGCATAAGAACTACAATTTTCTTGAGATGCATTGTGATGAAAATGACTTTGTCTCTTACCTTGAGGAAGATATCCTTATAGCTTGATAAGGAAGAGATCCACAATAATCAATCAAAACCCTAAATTCACAATTAAATGTACGAAGAAGAACCAGAAGAATCAGTCTTGTTTGATAAACACGTCGAACCAAAAGAAAACCCTAGCTTCACAATCAATGGTCCTCTGAACCATGATTCAACAAAACCTGAATTGGTTAATTGAAGAGTGGATGAATGTCATGTCATAATCACTAATCCTAATCAAATGATAAGCACACTTATATGAGGAGGAGTCTTGATTCGAAGCCCGCATATGCTATGTCACGCCCTGGAGTTCTTAACCAGAACGACCTACAACCAGTTGTTCATCAGAAGATATTAGCCTTGTAACTTGATGGAGAAGAAGTCCAAAAATGAGCATGAACCAAAACCCTAATTCCACAGCCTTGTAAACCAAAAAGACCCTGGATAATCAACTTATTAAATACATACACCTCAAATCAGTTGTAAACCCTAACTCCCTAACTGCTGATCTTTTGAACCTCAGGTGATCTATTTTTTTATGAAAATGCGTGCCATGCGCATGACCTATTGGAATGATGCAGAAGAATGCAAAGTCTAAGCCAGAATAAAAGAAATTAGGAGGGCAAATTTTGGGGTGCAACAATAACAACTATGGAGCTTGCATACGGATGATCCGGGGTGGATTACTCTTTGATCGGCACTGACAAACTGGTAGATCTGTGATTCATTTCTTTTCCTCTTTGTGTATTCTCTATTGGTTGGGTTTGTATGTATATTTTAATTGAACTCATGTATGTTTGTCGCACTTTGCATTATATTAAACTTGCTTTACGAATCTTTGTGGATTGTTGTCCTGGATTTTTACTCTGTGTTAGGGATTTGAGTTGTTATAGACATATACTGCTTAGATTCTTATCTTGGATGATTATCAGTTAGTTTCTGAAATTTAGATATAGATTTAGAGCTGACATCTACTTGGGTATCATAGCTTAATGCCTCTGTATTGTTTGTGTTGCTCTGAGAGATCGTCAATGCAAGCAAGCACGGTTGACTTCTGTGTTGTTGAGGTGGTTGGGAGATCGATACCAAGGTGATGTAGTCGGCCTCTCAATTTGGGTTGGAAATGACTTAGGTTGTGAGTGGTACATAGTGACATTGATGAATATTGTAGGTTGAGTATAACATGTCGATAGGTTTAAGTCTGTGAGAAGTAGTATATATCCATGCTTGATAAGTTATTCCTTTTTCGTTTTTGTACATTTATTTTCTGTTAATACATTTTATTTCAACCCATTTATCCCCAAACTCATTAATAACAAATTTGTTGAACGGAGATCAATAACCAATCTCTATGGACACGATACGATATAACCTAAATATCACCCGGTAAAAACAATACATTACTTTTTGCTTGCTATTTTACCACGGCAACAATCTCCTAACTTAGAAGTTGCATTCCCTACTTTCAATTAATTAAAGCATAAAAGTTAGGATCATTCACTTATATTCATCGGCTTCCCTACGTAGAACATGCTTAAGCCGGAGCCGAATGCTAAAATAAACTACTTAAGGACTTATTTTAGGGTGAGACCTTAAAGCTAAGGCATAACAAGTATCCAGATCGGTCTTTATAATAAGAGACTTACAGTGTTATGACGACCAATATTTCATGATATTTACCAAGTATTTATAACTTGTCCTAAGTTTTTCTAATAGCCCATATATTTAAAAATGAACACTGTTTCTTTTTGCAAAAAATTTCAGTATGGCTCAAGAAATGGAAGAGATTCATCAAATAACAAAAATTACGCATAAAGACTCGATATTACACGCAATGGCTTGATAAGACAAAGTAAAACAAAATAAATACTAGAAAGCAAAAAATCTAACTAGAAAACAGGAAATCTATCTAGGAAGCAAGAACAGTTCCTCTCCTACATATTGTTGTACCATAAAATTTGCCCTCTTCATATAAAGAAAATAAACCTAATTGGCTTATACTCTTGTTAGCACATGCATGCATATAATTAGATCCATACTCATGAGATCAAGGCATTTCATCAACACAATAAAGCTCTCACATTTGTCAAATCATGCCGAGTTGTGAAAGATTCGAGTGTGTTCAGTAGATCTAGAGCAGTGCAAATTGGAAACAATATTTTCAACTGATATGAGCTTAAAATATTCATATCTGCTGCTTAGGAGCGGTGTTTGGTTTAATTCTTGACGTTTTGAAACCATTTGGGTTTCCTCTCTAACTTTCGTGTTTGGACCAAAGACTAATTCTCGAAGAAGGGTCTCCGAATATGCATTTCTCTTGGAAGTTAAAACGGTGAAAAATACAAAGAAAAGTGCGTTGAATCGTTGTTTCGTGTGCATTAGAAAATTCATAACTTCCGGTTAGAATGTCGTATGTGTGCAGGATTGATTGCCAAAATTTTGTCTTGATGTTATCTTG